TATATATATATAATTTTGACACTAACTATTTGCTATATTTGTTATACAAGTGGCAAATAACTAAATCTCACCAGGAACCTGGGGTTCCTAAGAATTTCTAGGTGGTTATACTGGTTTTGTAAAACATAAATTCATCTGCAAGATGCAACTTACCCATAAGCAGAGTAAATGGTAGCCTGGGTGTGGTGAAATCCTTTCCCCATCAGCCACATTTAAAGGCTTCAAGCTCTTTGCAGTGTGTTACTGAATCACAACTATTATTTATTGAGTACCTATTATATGCCAAGAAAGAAAAAAAGCTTTGGGAATAAAAAGACAGATGAGCATTGTAATTGAGAAATCCAAGGGTAAATAATAGAATAAGATTAAATATTGAGCAAGTGGTCGTTTATGAAGCAAAGAAGAGGAGTGAGCACTGAATATCTGAATTGCAGATCACCAGAAAGGGAGGGAGGGTCAAAACAATTGTGTTGACTGGGATAGGGGCAAGTGTGAAACTTTGCTCATTCATGTATTTATTAATCAAATACTTATAAACTACTAATTGTGTTCAGTCTAAGTTTGAGGTACATCATGAAAAAGTAATCCCTGACTCAAGAGAAGACAGACTATTAATAAGCCATAGTGATAATATATGAAAAATAGAGAAGTACACTTACAGAACACAGAATGGGAAGGATTCATGCCTTTAAAAATTAAATCTCTGGGCCGGGGTTGTGGCTCAGTGGTAGAATGCTTGCCTAGCATGCATGAGGCACTGGGTTCGATCTCTGGCACCACATAAAAATAAAAACAAATAAAATAGGGTCTGGGATTGTGGTTCAGCGGTAGAGCGCTCACCTAGCACAGGTGGGGCCCGGGTTGGATCCTCAGTACCACATAAAAATAAAGGTATTGCGTTGTGTCCATTGACACCTAAAAAATAAATATTAAAAAATAATAATAAAATAAAGATATTGTGTCCATCTACAACTTCAAAAAAATTAAAAATAAATAAATAAATCTCACTAATTTATCTCCAGGTCTTAGATCAGTGTCTGGCACCCACAGCAGGAGTCAAAAAGTACCTTTTGAATGAATAAATATCTATATAAGGCGCACCTAATCTAAATGGGGAGATTGGCACTAAGTATCTGGGAAATCTTATGCAGAAGGTAGCATTTAAGAGGATCTGAAAGAGGGATAGGACATAGGCAAAGTCAAGAAATAGCTATTCTGAATAGAAGGTTGAGAGAAAGCTTTATGGGTTCCAGAAACTCCTGAGATAAAGGGCAAGAGCAGGAGGGGGATGCCACCTTCAAGAGATTGTCCTTTTTCCCTCAGTACAATGAAAAACCACTGAAGGATTTTAATGAGGAAATACCTACAATCTATTTGGGGGTTTAGAGGGGTTATTCTTGCTGCAACACATTTATTAGAGTGTAAATTGAAAGGACACGAGCCTAGAGTCAGGAAGGCCAGCTGGGAAGCTCTTCTAGCTATCCAAGAGAACGATTCCAGCAGCCTGGGTTAGAGTTTTGTCTTTAAAAATATAAAAAGGTGGATGTACTTGGTAAATATTTAAGAAATGGCTAGCCCTACCAAAAAAAAAATTTTTTTAATCACATTTTAGATTCAATCCGTGGAAATATAAACAATCACAATTACTTAATTATTTTATGACAGTTGACTTGTATGTCAGTTTGTAGGGTGTTTTGGATGAGATTAACATTTAAATAAGCAAACTCTGGGCAAAATAAAATTGGCCTCCATGGTGCTGGTGGGCCTCGTCCAATCTGCTGAAGGGCTGATGAGAACAAAATGACTGGCCTCCTTGAGTAAGAGGGAATCCTCTAGAAGATTGCCTTTGGACTTCATCGGCATCATCGGGTCTCCTGGGTTTCCAAATTGCCAGTCCACACTGCAGATTTGGACTTGCCAAAGTCCTTATA